TGGCACTTTCAATATCTCCAACACCATAACTCAAAGGCATCAATTCTTCTACGGTCTTCCTTATTCACTGTCCAGCTTTTGCATGAATATGAGGTTACTGAAAATACCATGGTTTGGGTCAGGCACACCTTAGTCCTCAAGCTGACATCTTTGCTCTTCAACACTTTAAAAAGGTCTTGTGTAGCAGATTTGCCTAATGCAATATGTCGTTTCATTTCTTGACTGCTGCTTCCATGATTGTTGATAGTTGATCCAAGAAGAATGAAATCCTTGACAACGTCAATCTTTTCTCCATTGATAAGAATGATGTTTATTGGTCCAGTGGTGAGAATTTTTGTTTTCTTTACGTTGAGATTCAATCCATTCCAAAGGATGTGCTCTTTGATCTTCAACAATAAATATTTTAAGTCCTCTTAACTTTCAGCAAGCAAGGTTGTATCATCTGCATATCACAGGTTGTTAATGAGTCTTCCTCCAGTTCTGATGCCACATTTTTCTTCATATAACCCAGCTTCTAAGATTATTTGCTCAGCATACAGGTTGAATAAGTATGGTGAAAGAATACAACCCTGCTACACAGCCTTCTTAATTTTAAACCATTCAGTGTTCCCATGTTCTGTTCGAACAACTGCTTCTTAGACTATGTCCAGATTCTTCATAAGCACAATTAAGTGTTCCGGAATATTCATACTTCTCAATGTTGTCCATAGCTTGTCATGATCCACACAATCGAAAGCCTTCGTGTAGTCAGCCAAGATCCATCAGACATCAGCAATGATATACCTCATTCTACGGCCTCTTCTGAATCCAGCTTGAACCTCTGGAAGTTCTCTGTCAATGTATGATTGTAGCCATTTCTGTTTTATCTTTAGTAAAATTTTACTTGCATGGGATATCAAACAGATTGTCTGATGATTTCCACATTCCGTTGAGTCACCTCTCTTTGGAATGGGCACAGATAGTTGTCTTCCAAATTTCGTGGCAGAGATGAATGAGTGCTTTCGTGGCAGAGATGAATGAGTGCTTCCTGTGCCACCTCACTTTCTTGAAAGATTTCAATTTTTATTCCATCAATTCCTGATGCCTTGTTCTTTGCTAATTCCTTCAATGCACCTTGGACTTCCTCCTTCAGTATCACTGGTTCTTGATCATATGCTACCTCTTGAAACGGCTGGACATCAACCATTTCCTTTTGGTACAGTGACTCTATGTATTCCTTCTATCTCCTTTTGATGCTTTCTGCTTCATTCTGTAATTTGTCCAGAGAATCCTGCAATAACAAAAGTCGAGGTTTGAATTTTTCTTCAGTTCCCCCAGCTTGAGAAATGCTGAGTGTGTTCTTCCATTTTGGTTTTCCGACTCCAGGTCTTTGCACATTTTGTTTTAATATTTGACTTTATCTTCTCTAGCTGACCTTTGACATTTTCTGTTCAGCTCTTGGACCTCCTCATTTCTTCCATTTGCTTTAGCATCTCTACACTGGAGAGCAAGTTTC